AGAGAGAGAGAGAGAGAGAGAGAGAGAGAGAGAGTGAGAGAGAGTACATACCATAGAGATTTGTAATGGCATTTGAGATTGCAACTGCAGTGGATACCCCTTTTCCACTCCCAGACATATCCTCACCCAACAACAGCTTTGAGAATTTTTCTTTCATGATATCAAGACCTGAAATATATAGTTACAAAGATAACTAGCCATAGATTAGTAATTGGTTATGGAAATTTCCTGTTTAAAATAAATTCCAAACTAGGAAGATAATTGTAAACCTCTCTTTCTCATGGATATATCTATGCTTTGAGGGAGAGAGAGAGACCTGATTTACTGGCTTCATGATCTTCTGACTTATGATCTAGAACTTGGGTATGCCTTTTGATCCCCAATTTTACTAATGCCCCTCGACTTTGGGTCTGTGGCCTACTGACCAGGGGGAGAGAATGCGGTGACTCTTCGGGGGTAGAATTTTCATAATTAGTATCGGAAGATATTGAAGTTTCAGAGCTCGTCCTGCTGAATTCCATTGTTCTAATGCTCAATGTAGAAAATTCACTATCTGTAACTGATCTTTCTATGTGATCCTCGATGCCTACGAATGTTGAAAAATTGCCCATCTCAAAACTTTGATCTTGGTGCGATTTACTGGAACTGAAAAAAAAACAAAAAAAAAATCATGGGTTGTGTTAGTCCCTGTGAATGGAGTGAAAAAGTTTTTTGAGGTTCAAACTCAGTCCCGTCATTGTTGGGTTTTCTCTCTCTAGAGATTCAGGCAAATCTTGTGAGTCTAATTGACTAAATAGTGTTTTAGAACTTCAAAACTGATGATGGTTTAATGTTTGGTTTATCTCTTTCTTAAGGGAACTTTATAATTCTTCCCATTGCTTTTGTTTTCCCTATCTAGATTGCAGAGGATCATGCTGAGAAAAACTCATATTACATTAAAATATAGAAGAGAAAAATTGAACTTAGAAAATTAGCAACCTGAATTAGCTAAAAAAAGAAAAAAGAAAAGAAGCAATAATGTAGAATGGTTGAATTGATGCTGTGAAATGGCATTAAAGCTAACACACTGAACGTTTTATCTTGAGAGAAATCAGTCTGCATAAAACGAGCAAATTATTTTTCAATTAAAGCATGTATCACCGTGGCATTTGCTCAAAATTCAATCCTGCATGCTCTGTTCCTTAGCAGATACAAATTGGGTTACAAATACTTTTGTAAATCAAAATTTGCGGAGAGAGAGAGAGGCAACCCACAATTCTTCTTTCCCAACCTCCTCTCCTTCTAAGACACCCCAAGAACTTCAACCCTCAAAATTTTCGAAACCCAATCTCCTTTCTCTCTCTAAAATCATTAAAGCCGATAACAAATTCTAGAAATTCCACCATTGCATAAAGCTACCATACCTTTTCTTTCAGATTTTGAATTTGAACTACCACCACTGTCACGCTTTTCCTCTCGCTCTCCCTTGCTTCTCCTGCAACTTTTTCACTTTAATCTTTTCTTCCATGCTCATGGTTTAAAAAACACATGAAATGTAGCCGTTGGCCTCTGTTTTCCCCTCTGATTTTCCTTCTCTCCAACACTTTTCTCTCCCTTTCTTTCTCTTGGAGATGATGATGGCAACGGTCTTGAAACAGGGGAAGTAGCCGTTTAGAGAGCTTGAATTTCTTTTGAGAGCTTGACTTTCTTTTGTAGAGAGAGAGAGAATGAAGTTTTTATTCCATGAATTTGCAGATAGACAGAGAGAAAAGCATGGGCCTTTTGCAGTCTAATTTGCAGAGCTTTTGGTTTTCATATCGAGTAAAAGATCAGTTATTCTATGCTATTTCATCAACTATATTTTTCATTATTTTTATTCTTCTTAATTTTTAAATGGAAAAATTTATATAGAACCGAGGATCTAAACAATCAAATTAGAGCTTACATCAAAAATTTCACTAGAAGAGGTTGTTTTGATGCCCAAATATCCTGAAATTGATCATCTCAACATCGAGATGGACATGAGAAAAAAAAATCGATTTCGAGTTTTGGAAATAGTGTATTTTATAAGGCATTTTTAGACCGTCAATTTTCAAGATTTCCAAAGTTTTATAAATAAAAATGAAAATATGCATTAACGCTATCATAAAGATTTGTAACATTAAAACCACATTTCTCGACTCCAGTTATGTTAGAAAACCACATTTCTCGACTCTAGTTTAGGGTAGTCTGAATTTGATTGTTTAGAGCCTAGCCTCTATAGACAACCACACCCGATTTTTAATATTTTAGGAGGGAAAAGGGGTAAGCATTCATTCGTTTGGGAAGAGCTCATTGTCCTTGTTTTTTTAGTATATGGCACTAATATCCTTGTGCCTTAAGTTCATTGAATCTCTTGGTATGTGGGAAAAGTACGTTTGCCAAAAGATTTTGTGCTCCCGCCGGAGCATGCATAAGAGATTCATTCTCACAATAAAGGTCTATAAGAAGAGACTACTTACTTTTAGTACAAAAAAGTCACAATTAGTATCGTCCTTCAAATTTTAAATGGGGTGGTTGTGGGTGTGTCTACTAGACTTACAGTACAAAATAAAAATATTATCAAACCCTATGGCACACCCCAAGCCATCCATTCTGACATCTAACGGTCTTATCAAGCTTCTAATGGCCTCTCAATGATCCTTTTGATGCCAAGGACCTAAAACGTTTGGAAAAAAAATTGACTCGGTATTGGACTAGATAATGAATTAGGGTTTCAAACCTAGCGATCAATTTCAGATAAAAAAAGGAAAACACTTATACACGATATGTAAGCAGCAAAAAAAAAAAAAACAATCTCATGTCGAATTAGGTCCAATTTGTAATTCAATGTTCAATTTTTATTGTTTTGGAATACATTTTTCAAAAAATTCTATGCTCCGGTGGAAGAGTTTCGTATATTTATCCCTAGGCTAAACGCTATCTAGGGTCATTTAAGTGTACATAAAGTGCATGATTCTTGTTTTAATTTTAAGATAGATCATTAGTTTGATAGGGTTACATCCACGATACTTAGGTCCTGGGAATGACCCCAGATGGTATTTTACTCAAGAGAATGAATGCACAATATGATCTTGCAGGAACATAAAATCTTTCCACCGACTAGCACTTTCCTAGAACGATGAGGAGTTGGTCGCTCACAGCATAGCTGAGGATACGCCTATTCCATTTGGTTCTTATATTTTTCCAAGGTTTTTGTGATTTATTAATTGGTGGTCTAGAGGGGCTTTTGGTCAGTTTGGGTAATGCTTGGTCACGTATGATGGGCTTGCTAATTACTCTCTCTAATGTCAAATTTCAATAATAGGTGAGCCATGCCGGACCACCTACAATACATGGTCTAGCATTGAAAAACCCATAAGAACTTTGCATCCAAAGAAATATCACGAAAGATAATTTGATTTGAGTTCTAAAAATCTTCCATATAAAAAATAAAAATAAGGAAACATTGAGTTGGGTTCTAGAAATCTTAGTTTACTTATACAAAACTAGAACAAATTACTCAGCAAATGTCTAGTCCAGAGTCAATCTAAGGATGAGCTTTGAGGGCAATTTTGAGCTACAAACACATTTAGATTGGAAATTGGCATAACTGAACAAGAATTTAGAATTATTATCATTATGCAAACATTATTTTAACTATTTGGCGGGCTATTCATGATTCGAATGTAGCAAAAAATTTATGCTGGCTGCTACTCTAACACAACCGTCGCCATTTCTCATCCAGGCCTCAGACCTGCAATGATGGAGTTCAAACAAAAAAAAAACTTAGAATAATCTTTTCAAATTGATTCCTTGATATGAATAAAAACAACTTTGAAAGATTTTGAACAAATCCCATGTGGGAACAACTGTACATTTTCACCTGCGGGATCACAAATGAACCAATTAGGACTCAAGTATCCTAGCAAAAAAAAAAAAGAATAAATAAGTACATCGAGAGACCCAGGCTCTTAGTTGGAAATTCCTATTTGAGAAGACGTGTCTAATCATTGGAATTCCCAATAATTACAAAACGTTTTGGGAATATGAGTACATATACTCAAATTTTATGGATCTCTTTTTTACTAAGATTAATTGATTAATTATATCTAATATATATTTATGCAAGTTTGTGATTTATATATGGAAAAAATTTATATAAGGTTGCAACCTTACCTTTATAGCTACGGATGCACCTCAAAAGTCTATCGAAAAAGATAGTTTTAATGTTGAAAAACCCTTTGATTGATCATCTCGACATCGAGATGTATGACTATGAAAATAAAAAGATTTGAAGTCTAAAAAATAGTGTATTTTACAAAATCTTATCTACACCGTCTATTTTCATATGTTTAAAGAACTACTTGATTTTAACTATTTTTGAAATTTAAAATTTTATAATTAGAAATAAAAATAGATTTTGATATAATCCTAATAACATTTTACATCAAAATTATATAGCATGACAAAATTTGAAGGTACACCTTACCTCTGCAGCTATGGATGCATCCGTATGCCAACTGCACCCTTTATATATTATTAGTATGACTTTATATGTTTAGATAATATATTCCCAAGGGTCTTGTTTGAATCATGCTTCCCATGTTGCCATTACCCCTTTTATGCAGCAAAAGGTATCACATTAAAAGCAAAACATTATATGCTCCTGCAGGAGCATATCTAATTCGCTTCATAAGGTCATACCCAATTTCGACTTATTTTTAGGACCCTAAAATTTGAAGATACAACTTTCTCAACCTAGTGGAGGAAAAAGGAAAAAATAAAAAAAGGGAATGTAACTGCACTTGTCGGTGCTTGAAAAAAATTGTCCTTAGAATAAACAAAGGCCATTTAATTGTTGGATGGTCGGATCTAAATGTTTAGTGGCTCGAAATTTATTTTTTAATTAGAAAATATTAATTTTCTAATTATAAAGTGGATCCCTAAATTTTATATCTAAAAAATCATCCCCCAACAAGTCTTATACACGAGAGAGTAATCATATAGTATGCTCCCTCGAGAGTACGTTATACAGCACTCCTATTAAAATGGTTGTGCCCTTCTAAGCAATATAAAAGTTTGGGCATGTTAGGGGAGTATAATGGTTGGTACTTTTTATGTGCATGAATCCCTAAGTCTTGGTCTCCTCACTATCTTTGTCCTAGAAACTTCCGTTTCCATGAAAAATCTAAAAAAAAAAATAAAAAAAAAAAAAAGGGGAAAAAAACTGATTACGCATAACTTCCTACCCTCCATTCCCACCGTTAACATATCAAAAAAATAATAATAATATTGATTTCAATGTTCTCAACAACGGTAATCGTCATGACTAGGCAAAGTGGGACATGGGTCCACCATGGTTTGGTGCAGTTTGTAAGATTGATGCAGTTTGGATATCAAATCGTAGTGGTCTAAACGTGGTCACTAAGTCTAGATTAGTAAATAAACATGTTTTTCTTCTTTTTATTTTTCTTTTTAAAGGAAAATGTATTATGAGTGTTTAATACGCGAAAATATGATACACGTCATCCCCACCATCCATACTCACTACTCACGTTGTAGATGAGCTGCTCTTTGACTCAAGGATACAATTGTCCACTCAAATGGAATCTCCAGCATCTATTGTGAGAATGGATGGTGTAGATGACATGATACAAGCATCATACAATATCAGGCTCCCTTCTAATTCATACACACATATTGATTTCATGTTTTAGGTGCCGTTTGGCAAGAACCTCATTTCCCCACCTCTCACTCCATTTGCTCGGCACTTAAAGTGTTCTACTCTACATAGTACCTTGGCATGGCTGGGCTGGGCTGGTCCGGGCTGGGCTCGGTTCAGCCAAGGAATTTGAGCTGGGGTTGGGCTTTGCTTGTGGAAAGAAATTGCGTCCTGGCTGGGCACTGGCCTAGCTCAAAAGAATTTGGACCCCAATGTCTATGGTATAAACATAAAAATAACTATCTCTAATATTTCATATTTTATTGTGACTCCTTTTATTACATTGTTTTTTTTTCGTTTAATACCCATTTTGAAACTCCAAGTTCTGAGACGAGATGTTTCTTAAACTAGTTCGGAACTTGAAATTCCTAAAAGGTTATTGAGAGAGAGAGGAAACAAGTCAGTCAATTTGGAATTTGAAATTCTGAAATGGTTCACGACTTATAGTCATTTTATGACTTTGGATCGTACCCCATTTCTGCCGCTACTTCAGATCTTAATTACCAAAGTCCCTT